CTTTGGAGAGCTGGAGAAGAACCCTTCAAGGTACAAGGCAGGAGACAATTGGGCTTGTTCAACCAGGGGGCACTGTTCAGAGTTATGCCATGGATGAATTTAGTCCAGAGGCCCAATTTTTCCCTCAGTTACGTGCTTACAATCCCACTGACTGCAGTAGCAAGCAGATGAATGTAAGATTTGCCTCTTCACATAAACAGATTTGTCTACATAAACAGTATACCTACAATATACAGGTGATGTAAAAATATAGCCTCCAGCTGCATTTTCTGTAGTCAGCTGTTTTCTTGACATGTTGTGTCTTTGCTTTCATCTAGCTTCTAATGGCATTGCTATTGATAGTGTTTTCATTCTTTTCAAACTCTGGGTTTAACCAGATACAGACTCTGTGTAGCAGATGGCATTCTTACTAGCTCACTATCAGGTTCAGAATGAATGGGGGAAAGGCAGGAGAGTTCAAGCAATAAACTCTACTAAGTGACTAAGTTGCATCCAAGTGCTATCCTTAAGGAAGCTAAGTGTCAAGCTGTTCATATCTTAGATGAACGCTAATCTGTGCAATCATCCAGTCTCTCAGACATTACTTAGTGCCTGTTCAAATACTCTGTGCATTGCCAACTCTCAGGATTTCATCACATGCCTTCAAATACTTGATGGGTGTTTAGGCCCTAGCTCCTAGAGTCCTGTGATGACCTGAGAACCTCCATTTTTGTTTCTGTTGGTGCTTTTGTTTTTTGTTTCTCTTTTAAAGGGAGCTTCTAGCCCCCATTGCTACAGATAAAAAAATTATCCTATTCTTCCTGGTCAGAACCTGGAAGAATGGGATAATTTGGGCAGAAAATCGGGAGGGGGGGAGGTCCTAGCAACATGGAGAGGAAGTCTGGTTCACTGGATTGGGGAATGCAGGACATTTGAGTTCCATTCCAAGCTCTGCTTCCTGACCTGGGGCAAGTCCATCTCTTTTCTGTGTCCCCTCCCATCTTTGCTTAGGTTGTCAGCCCTTTGGGACAGGATCTCCATGTATGTGCAGTACTCTAATACAGGGATGCCCAACACACAGGGCAGGTCCAGCCCACAGAGCCATGCCATCTAGCCTGCAGGAGTCCCTAGGGGTCTGAAATTTGGTCGGGGGGGGAGTGGTAGCAGCAATTGCCACTTTCCTGATGCCAAATTTCTGGATCTGTGGGAAGCCCCACAGGCCAGTTAGCATACTGGCTCCATAAGCAAAGGTGGCCCAGGGCCTGATCTGGGGACATAGGGGCCAGCCCCAGGAGACAACATGGGGCTGAAGGAGGCAGCGTGGGGCCCTAGGAGGCAGCACAGAGCCTGTCCTGGCTTATGGGGCCTTAGCTGGCCCATGGACCAACTGAGCTGCTCATCCCGCCCGTATGAGCAAAACATTGAGCACCCTGCAAGACGGCTGTGATGTAAATGAGTAGGAAGCAGTCTCCCCAGGGTGAGTGGAAGGACCTCTTCTTGAGCTATTAAAAACCAGCACACTAGAGATAACCTGCTTCAGCAGGGGGATGAGCTAGGTGGCCTGTTAAGTGTTTTCCATCTGTTACTTCCACCCTAATACAACGTAGGCAGGTAGCTCTGGAGAAAGCTGAGCTCCAGGTGTCACCCAGGAAAGATGACCTCACCAATGAGAGCCATCTGCTCTTCTCTCCTCACTACCAGCCCCGCAAGGAACAAAGCTATCTGCAGTATGATCCAGTGCTGGTTTTAGAAAGAAATCTTTTCCAGGTGCCACGCTGCACTTTGTTGTGGAGAGCAACAAAAATGATTAGAGGCCCGGTAAGCAAGACTTATGAGGAAAGGCTGAAAGAGCTAGGGTTATGTTATTTAGCAAAGAGAAGACAGGTGGGATTTGATACCAGCCTTCAAATACATGAAGGATGATTAGAGAGGATGCAGATGGGGTTTTCTCTGTGGCCATAGGTGACAGGACTAGGATCAATGACCTAGAGCCACTCTGAGAGCCACTAATTAAAGCGCCACAGTGTCTCATGTATCAGTGTCCCCGCACTTTAAAATGATGGTGAGGGCTCTTGAACTAAAGCTTGTTTGACAAGCTTTATTTCAAGCACCGCCATCACCATTTTTTAAGCGTGGAGACGCTGATACACAATATGCAAGAGGCTGCTGGAGCACAGTAATCACCACACTCCAGCGGACTTGATTAATCATGTCTGCTAATGCGTATTTTCCTAGTATCTCACAATGGAGGTACGAGATTTAATATGCATTAACTAATGCATGTTAATGTGTGTGTAGACACGTTTAACAGACAAGACAAGGCAACAATGAGGTGTGCTGTGCTCTTCTCTACATTGAACTTGCTCTCTGCAGCCAGACCTGTCATTCGTTCTGTGTGGCTCTTACACACCCCACATTTTTGTATACAACACACAAGGCAGATCACCAGGATCCTTTCAATGAGGTCAGAAAGGGATGGTCTGGGTCTTCTCTGCCCCAGGAATTAGAGTTTCTGAAGCATTGCTGTGCATTGTTAGCAAGCGGCTTGAATGACTCTTCATCATGGGAGTGGCCTTAGGATCCAGACATTCACTAAGTGTGAGGGCAGGGTTGTGCTCACTGTTGTTCAGGGCCCACAGCCTGCCAGGCCTTGTGTATTGGAGTGACTTGACTCCAGTCCATAGTCATGTTGATGTCAGTGGGGCTTCTTCCCAGAATAGAGTGATTTGTGTACCTAAGTCTTCCCAGGATTGAACCTTCACTGCCAACTCCATTGTGACATGAAGGGATAAATCATAACCTCAGCTGTATCAAGGAGAGGGCTGGAGTAGATGTAGGGAGAAGAAGGGGAAGGAAAGGAGGGACACAAGGGGTGTCCATAAGGGGTAGAGGGATGCGAGGGAATGGGGAAAAGGAGAAGAGACGTGATAGTGAGAAGGGTGCTGTGAGGGGAAAGGGTATGGCTGTGGAAGGGGGCAGGCAAGGAGAGGAGATGCAGGTGTGTGGAAGCAGGATGCAAAATGGGTGGTAGCTGGCTGGAGAGGCCAGCAGAGCTCCTTCTCTCAATGAAGTGGCAAATGGTGCTTTGTGCGCATGTCCAAGATTGGAGTAAGGTTACCTCAAGGCTTCCTATGCTGGATAAAAATCAAGCCAGACCCAGTGTGACTCTCTGTCTTGAACACACGGATTTTCAGGCCAGTCCTCAGTTTTTGGGGTAGGGATCTGACTCCCAAGTTCTGGGTGCCTGGGGCTGGCAGTGCTCTTGGAGCAAGAGACCCTGGGAAGTATAAATTACTCTGGTGCAGAAGGGCTGATGCTTCTCACGCCATCTGTGAGTCTCCTGGGGATGCCCCCTCCACTCCCAGCTTCAGGACTGAAGCGAGTAACTGAGGATAAAGGGCAGTGACCTGCACAGATCCCATTCCCTAACCAGGCTTCCCAGCCAAGGGCAGATGCCTCCTGAGCACAGGCTTTCCTAGTAGACTAAACTCTGCATCGCAGCCATAACGCCATTATATAAAACAAAGCGATGAGGGCACCTGCCTGCCGGGGCTGGGGCTGAGCACCTAGGTTTCACCATCAAGATTGTTTTACCCAGGGTGCTGCGGCCATGGGAGGAATGGGACATAGTCAAGGGGATCATGCTTTTCTCTGGGGAGGATTAAAACTGTAATTCTCTCCCACCCTCATTTTGCCAGAGAGTGATATCAAAAGCCTATGCTGGCCTTCTTGCAAAGTGATCATCACAGGCAGGAGTGTGGTGTCCTACTTGGCTGTCTGCCAGTGTCAGGCTTGAAGGAGGCGGATGCTACAGGGGTAGGCAAGGCAGGAAACTCTTCCTTGCAAGCTACTGGCCTTCTGCCCCCACTAGGGGAGAGAAACAGGTTCAAGGTCCTCCTGTTTGCAAAGACCTTGGGTCTGTTTTTCTACTCCCTGACCACAGTATGAGTTCTCCACTTGCTGACCACCTTGTGAGCTTAGATTGGCTAGGCTGTCAGCAATGGAGTTACACTGATGTAACCACCAATATTGCCATGCCCAAGCTTTGAAAATCACAGGTTGGGCCGTGGTGAAATCATAACGCTGGCTTAAAAATCATGAGATCTTTATTATTTTCATTTGCCATTTGTATTTGCCTTTGGGTTTTTGACTTGTCAGGGACTCACCTTTGCAAGCTTTTCACCCCCCTCAGGAAAGTCCCTGCTTCAGTTTTTTTATGGGCACTGTAATTCCCAGGAACTGACACTTTAAGAGGAACACCAAATATCATAAGACTTATGATCAAACTATGAGGAGCAGTGTCTGGGACATGAGAATCCAACAGGCTGTTGGCCTGAATATGAGCCAGGGCAGTGCTGGGATTGCAAAGAAGCTGAAAGACCAGACCGTTTTCACCCCAGTGGCACTCCCACTTTAGGCTGGTGTAAGACCAGTGACTGCCCTGGTGTACAGCTGGAGGAACACTGGGGGAAATCAGAGCTAAGAGCTCTGAAAGCCAAATAGCAACACCCCCACCACTCCATGCACACACTTTGATCCCAAAAGCCTTGCCCACTCATGGCTCTGGGTGGGGAGGCAGGACACTAATTTGGTATTTTGTGGAGTGGCAAGGACAGTGCAAGAGAGCTCTCACTGGATCTGGCCCTGCTCAGAGCCAAAGAGCTGGACTCCCACCAGGGAATGTGGGAGGAGGTTTAAGGCTAGGAGCAGGGAGGGGAAGTGGCCATTGCTCTGCTGAGGAAGGGGTCAGGAGTGTCACCTGGCAGGTAAAAGTGAAGATTTGTGCCTTGCAAGTAGGTCCTCTCCCTGCACTTGGAAATGCATGGGGTAAGAGCTGCTTAGACACTTCTGGGTCAGAGGAGGGGAGCTCCTGCAAGCCAGGTCCTCTCTGGTTACAGCCAAACCCATGGTGAAAAGCCCAGCACTTCTCTCTGAGAACAAGCCTTGTACCAAAGGGGAGCAGTGCCAAGAACTGTGTGTGACCAGGGGCCATGACCACGAGAGGGTGGTGACCAGAGATGCTAAACTTAGCACAGATGGAAAATTCCCATTGTGATGAGAGCCAGTTGCTGCAGGAGAGTCCTTCAGGGGATGTGCTGGGCGCCCTGTTGTTTGAGAGACCAAAGAACAACAGGAAATGGCCGTTTTCTGACCAGGAGCAGAACACACCACCCCATGGAGGATTTTTCAACCTCATTTCCCTAGGTCCACTCTGTGCAGCAGGTCAGGTCTGTGGGGGCCCCAAATATTTTTTTCAGCCGGTCTTGGGCAGTGCAGAGCCTTTGAGCAGCAAGCTGGGGGGAGGGGGCACTCTTCCCCCCCAAATAGGGGCTACTGCAAGCCATCTCCTGATTCTCCTCTGCTCTCTTGTGCTGTGTGTGTGTGTGTGTGCGCGCGCGCGCGCGCACGCACGCACGCACATGTGCACACATGTATGCACACACATGAATGCATGCATGCACTGCAGACTTGGCATTCTGTACAGACCGATTCCAGCGGCTGCACAGCTACAGATGAGGTCACAAAGGCATGCCCCTCCCATGCTGGGGCTGAATTTGGGGTCCACACCATGCTGAAGTGAGGCAGATTATACTCATTTCACTTGCTGAAATGACTGGCCAGACAGCACATGCCATGTCACTGGTCCTGTCTAGGGTCACTGCTGTGTTTGCTCAAGAGATGCCTGTGAAAGTTGCCTTCTTTTTGAGACATAGTCTGTAGTCGGAGAAAAAGGTGCAAATCCAGTTGTTTCTCTAGAGCTGCTCAGAGACACCTGGGGATTACTGGTGGCAAACACTTGCCACTGGTGTTAACTATAAGGGAGTTTGAACACTGGAGCTCAGTGACCTGTTATGTAGGTAGGTCAGTGCGCACATACATACATGCCACCCTGCTGTAACTCCTGTTGTAAACCAAAGGTCCAGTCCTCCCTTTCCTACCCTGCAACTTCTGTGAGCATATATCTCTGCACAGAGTTGATACAAAAGAATCCCAGAGCAGAGTGGGGGCAGCTAACACTCATGTTGGAAAACCACTGTGCTGGGGATCGTAGCAGGGACATTCAGACTGAAAGGACAGGCTGTGACAGCTTGAAGAGAAGCTCTGTACCAAGGACCAGAACAGACTGAAGCCTGCTGTGGATCAGCACAGAGAGAACCTGAGGCACTCCCTGCATCCCCTCATCCCTGGACTTCAGATAATCAAAACATGCATGTGGACACAGCACCCAGCCCCACCTCATCTCCAGGCCTCTGCTTTGGCCATTCCATTAACATGTCCCAAGGATAAAGGACATCTGTGGCAGATCCCATGGTGGGGAGGAGAGAGGCCAGAGTGTGGGAAGAGAAGGAGAAAGACAAGAGACCCACTGTGGAGAAAGAACAGCTGAAGGGTGTTGGCACCCAGCAAAGCCACTGGAGCAGGAGAACTCCAGGCAGTCTGGTGATGACTTCAACAGCCCTTTCTGGCCCCATCCTTTGGGCATCATCCCAGCAGTGCATGACACACGCAGCCCATCCCTCTGCCACAGGGTAGCATTGTATCCCCTGTCAGAGAGAGATGGAAAGACGGTGAAAAGAAACTTAGCCAGAGGCCTGGGTGTGACACAGAAGACAATTGAGCTCATTGGCATGGGAGAAGAGTCTCTGAAGGGAAGCAAGGATGTCTCATTTCTGGAACCATTAAAATGGTTCCAGACAGGAGCAGAGAGCAACCCTGGCCTGGCCTGGGAGGGATGGGCTAGCCCCACTCTGCCACTTCTCCCCACTGAAACAAGGGCCATCTAGGGGCAGCTATCACCAGTCATGGACTTCTGTGGGGCTCTGGCAGATGGCACTAGATGCAGATGGACTCCTGGATATTTAAGAGGGGGAAAAACAGTGAAGAAGTGTCTTCCTTCTTAGTCAGTGTGCATCCCTGATGTGTTCAGCATCCACTATCAGTGGGGAAGAATGGGATCCCAGAGATAATGAGACCTGGAGCTAGGGCTAGAAAAGCAAATGTGAAAAACCCACACAAGTGCTTTAGTGTGTCCCCTTGCTGCAAATGGGTGCAGCTCAGGGGACAGGCCAGTCTGCAGCTGCCAGCTACAACCCTTTCTCCTGAGGAGCATCTTGCACTGGCCACTGACAGGAGCAGGCGACTGGTCCCAGTCTGGCTCCTGCTTTCCTACCAGGAACAACAACATTTTATTTCAGGAAAATGAACATGACATTCTTATTGCTGTGCCTGCCTCTTACCAGGCACAGAAAGAAAAATCCTCTCAAGATGGAGCCTGTTAGTCTTGTCAGCGAACAGGAATGAACATGACACATTCATTTGGATTTCACTTTCTATTTTGAGATACTAATAGCTGGTTCACAGCACAGTCCCTCCTAAAAGGGAATGAGACAGAAAGACCTATTCTTCCCGTTCCTGGGCACTGATTGTGCCTAAGACATTTCCAAGCCTGGGGGTAAGCACTGAAAGCCAGATTTTCAAAGCAGCTCAAGACCCATGCACAGGCTCCCAGATAGGCCCAGGGTAACATTTTCCAGAGGGCTCAAGCACCCAGCAGCTTCTACTGAGAGCCAACCGGGCACTTTTCTGCTGCCAACACGGGGGCCAAACTCTCACAGGAAGCCAGCCCTCCTCCCCTGGTCTGCTCTCAGAAGTGCACACTGCTGCCTCTCCCCTCCTCCCTTGCTCATTTACTGGTTTGGACCAAAGCAGCGGAGCAGATGCAGCAGGGCTCTGACCTGCCACAGGTCCTGTAGAGCTGAGAACACATTGTCTTGCAAGAGCCCAAAGACACCTGAAGAGCCAGCTGTGATCTCTAAATGTGCCGACTCAAATTCCCTCTTCCCCTCCAATTGCAGAGCAGAGGCTGTGGAGAAATCAGGCCCCAGTCTGCCTCACTGAGGTAAGCAGACAGCCCAACCCCCCCTGTTACCTGCCGGTGTGACTAGCTAGGCTATAACAATTCCACTGGGAGGGGGAACCTGCTCCTCCTCTGGTCTCAGGTTCCCGCCCTTGCAGGTCATGTGGTTAGTCAACTCACCTGCTCAGTCTGATGTCATTTGGAAGCGCTGGTCAGCAGCCAGTGGCTTTACTTCTGGTGGGAACTTAGTGATGAGGTCACAACAGGTGTTGTGCTCCTCCATGAGGAATGAAACACAGACATGTTTTGGAACACAGCAGACATCTTTGGGAACAAGCAAATGGCCTCTGGAGCTCTTTTAGACTCTAGATGAAAATGTGAGTAACCTACCCGAGATGTAGCTAGTAACTTAGGATCAAGTGTTCTAGAAGTGTATCAAAAAGCTAGCAAGCCACTTCCGTTTGCTCAGGGTATTCTTTTGATATTACTCTGACTTGTACCCCTCCCCATGCCTACCCTCTCTACCCAATAAAGCCATCCATTATAGCAAGCCTTGTTGTACATGCTTGAGGGGGATTAGGTAGGCCTTTTTGTGCCCTTTGCTCGGCAGACTAAGGGAGGCTACTTTCTATGCTTCTGGCTATAAGAAGCACCGAGATATATCCTGCTGGGGCTAAGCAACCCCAAGGTCTGCAGGGCCCAACAGAGACCGGAGCTTGGGTGGTGGCAATAGTTACCCCAGCCTGGTGGGTGTGCTCCAGGAAGAGGGTTGGCCAGAAGTTGGCACCCCTGGGGAGGCATCCGCAGCTTGGTTTTGGTCAGGTACAGGGAGCTGGGTGGGTCGGCGCGGGAGCACCCCCTACTGGCCTGCCGCAGAGCCCCTATCACATCACTGTAAGCCCAGAGTCCCAGCAGCCACATCAGTAGCATCACTCCAGATTTACCGTTCTAAAGCTAAGAGTCAAATCTGGCCTCAAGGAAGCTATGAGCCAACTGTCCAGCTGCAGTGAGTCAGATCAGCTGCTTTGAAGTCAAGAGAGACGATCTCCAGCTGCTGGTGGGTCTCAACACAGCTGTCTTGCAACTGCAGCTGATCTAGCCCTCCTGAACTCAGTGAGTTTGTGGGGTCTCTCTGGTCACATAAACATTGCACCCTGCAGAACAGAGGGGAGCAGGGCAGCACCCTCTGGGAATCAGCAGGATGGCAAGAAGAGGTGTATCAGGGCAGCTCTGTGGCAGCTATGCAGCTCCTGGGGCAGTGCAGGCTGCTGTGGTATGAATAGTAGCAGCTTAATCAGCTGCCATTGTGGTCACAGCTATTTTCGTGCACCCTTCTCCCCCAACAAAGGTGGCCCCTGAGGCTGCTGCCCCAGTCACCCCCAGTTATGCTACAGATTGTAAGCAAAGTTTTTTGCAAAACAACCAGAGCACCACAGACAAGTGTCAGATTTACTACAGCTTTATTGCACTTGGACAGACCTAGGATTTTGAAAAGGGAATTGCAGGTGGTGTGGTACATCAGCACATAACACAACACACACTTTTTTTCCTAGTAAAAAAACCAAACTAGAAGCTTTACTAACATGCCAGGGGCCTAGGACTGTATTATTCAGTTTAAGATTGAAGCAAAAACAAATGTCACTTTATTGGAACATGCATTAATTTGCTGTATTATATATTCAGTATAATTAAGCAAAAATAATCAGAAGGTTTTGTTTTGTTAATCCTGTAGTCATTAGAATGATATGTGCCTCTCTTATTCAGATTCATTAAAAAAATCTAACCTTCATAAGCATCTTGACAGTGCACCCCATATTTCACTGACAGTTATTTCCACACCTGAGTTAATGTTCACTTGAGTTAATATTACCACACCTGAGTTAATGTTTTTAGCTAGAGCTAAAACAGTCTGAAGGGCTGTGAAATAGGAAAACCTAGCAGACAGCAACATTTCAGAAGAAAGGATAGCTTAATTAGAAGAATGTCAGGGCCATTAAAAAGGAAAGAGAGGGTTGTTAATACCTGTGGAGTATAGAGACCTTAGCAGGAGTCAGGTAGGTTATAATGAACTGTGAAGTTAATTGACTCTCTCAGCACTGTGAATAGAAATGCCACTGCTGCTGGCACAGGGCAGTTGGTTTATACTTTGGGTGGAGTAGGAATCAAAGAGGGGATGCATCCACATCATTCCCCCCTCGCCCAATCCACTCGTGCACTGTAATTCCATCGAAAACAATGATTGTATGTGAATGTGAAACCGGAGGAACACAGTGATGAATTAGACATATGTATGCAGCGTTACATATACAAAACAGGAAAGGAACATGGTGAAAGTTGCATAGTTGAGCACTCAGAAGCAGAGCTGACCCGAGCAGGGTCTGGGCCCCGGGGGAAATCAGCCCATGTGGGGCCCTGCCCCTGCTCCGATCCCATGGGCCCCAGATCCAAAGAAGCTGCCACCGCAGGGCGTGGGGGGTGGCGGGTGGCTGGATGTAGAACCGCTTCTTCACCCAGCTCCATGCCTCTGCTGCTCTGCCCCGGTCCACGGGGCCCCCCAAACTGCAGGGCCTGGGGCAGTTGCCCCAATTTGCCCCCCACAGGGACGGTCCTGCTCAGAAGTACCAGAATTCATTCCCTGCTCATGTACTGTGACACAGTCTGTAGTTACCTGACTCTGGTCCTAGGCTTTTTGCCCAGCCAGAGAAATAGCAAGAGGCACGTCCCTGACAGAGGTCACTCTGCTAACAAAGACAAAATGCCTGTTCCAGAGCATGGGGTGGAGGTGCTAGAGTGAAGACAAGTTGCCAGAACCCAAAGAAAGCATGATGCCTGCACTTGTTCCCAGAAAAATCTGGGAAGTTTTGGCTAACATTTTTTCCCTAGAAACCACCGGTTTCCCAGGTGCAATGTGGCTGGCTAACAAGCATGAAGATATAACAGCTCTCTCCTTTCAGGACCCTCCATTGTGACTCCCCCCAAGGATATCTGGAATGTCACTGGAGCGCAGATTTACCTGAGCTGTGAAGTCCTGGGAATCCCAACCCCGGTGCTCATCTGGAATAAGGTAGAGCACAGTTAATGCCATGGTGACATATTCTAGACACCTTGGGGCAGGGAGGCAAGGAACAGAGAGAGCCAGTCACTAATACAGGAAGGAGTTCCATAAGCTCCTGGAGTGAGGAGGCCTGGCCTGGGAAACATACCTGCTGTGTTACCAAAGCCAGTTCCCTTTGGCCCTCCAGCAGTCCATGTGCAGAGATAAGGCATTCAGAGGCAGGTTGTGAACCAGCAGTTTGCAAGAGAAGATCTTGCAACAAACATTGCCTCTGACAAGCATGCCTTGGAGGAGTGCATTCTACCAGCGCAAACACAAGTTGAGAAAAATCTCTTTTCCTCCCCCTCCCGCCCCCAAAACATCTGGCTTTGTTTAATTTTTCCTGCATAAATAATTTTTCTAAAGCTGATTTCCCCCCAGCATTTTTTACGTTGTTTATTTTGATAAAAGAACCGCCGTTAGGCTGCTTACAGTGTGACAGGCTGGTATTCAGAGCCTCCAAAGAATGTTCCTTGGTTATTTGTTTCAACCTCTGGTCTGCAAGTAGCTTTGGAAACACTGGACGTGACCACACAGGTCACAGTCACGGTAGTCATGTACTGTTCTGTTTTGTCTTAGTAGCTTGGAGGCAGATGTTAGTGCTGCTTCTGAGCTGTGCAGTTAAAGAGTGTTGAAGTCCTGGGATTTTTTTTTTTGGCTCTTACGCTCATAAGAAAAGCTCCTTCAGCTGCAGAGCCTTCATGAGAACCCAGCCATAGTACCTGTGAGGAGCCTGGTACCTTAGCAGGGAGAGGCTGTTCTCTTTGACAGTACTGGGATCATCATCAACCTTTGGGTGGATGTTCATTTCAGTGCCACCGTCTGCGCCTCATCAGGGCTTCCCAAGGTTTCTCAAGCCCAAGGGTATGTGGAGGTCTCTGAGGGTTTGCCCTCCTTTATGCAAATTCAAAACAGGCCTAAGAAAACAGGTAGCTTACCATAGCAATCCCTCTAAGACAACCTGGGTATTGGACAAGCTGGGGATATTTTCCCATGACATACAAAGCCCTGGTGTTCCTCAGATGACTAAGTCTGTGGGTGTTTTATTGGGCAGATCTTCCATGGAACTTGAAAGCCCCAGTGTCACCAACTGCAGCCTGGCATGGAGAAGTGACACTGATTGCTTCCCAGAAGGCAACTGAGTCCCGTTCCGTCCCCTGCATCTACCAGTACACCCAGACAATTCCCAGAACCCAGCTTGGGAGCAACATGCAGGAAGGACAGAATCAAGCCTCAGTTTTCAGTAAACAAGATAATCATGATGGTCATAGCATTTATCAATGTAACCCCAGAGACACCACTGTGCAGCTGCTTAACATCAGTAGCTTAATGGGGCATCTGACTAATGGGGCAGATCTTCAGTCATCTTCCCCTCTCAGGGCTGGAAGAGCATGGACCATATTTAGTAACAAAAGCCCTTGGCTTTTTGGTCCCCGACACAATGTGCACCTTCTTGTAAGACCCCTGCTAGGCATGTAGGTAAAGGCGTGCTGAAACCTGATGCACAATTCATACATTCACACTTCCTGCCATGCTACATGTGCCTGGCAGAAGGCCTGATTGTGGGATCGAGCATCAGATCCTATCATGCCTTATTGCTGGTGCAGGGGGCATCCAGGATCACGATCCCTGCACTGGCAAGTAGCAAGCTCCCATAGCTGGGAGTCCCCTCAGCTGATGGGGCTCCCAGCTCTGGGGGTGCACCATGTGCTTCCATGACTGGGAGTCCCATCAGCTGAGCTGGGCTTCCAGCTGCAGGAGCACATAGAGTATCCCAGCAGCTAAGAGCCCAGATCAATTGACAGCACCCAGCCAGAGGGCTGCACCTGGCCACACATTCAATTAATGGCATGATAGGAATGGCCACAGAATTATTACTTTTTTTTTGTAGAATAACTTTGTGGTTTATTCCTTGTTTTACAACTCCATTAATTGCTTCAGTGTGTGGCTGGGCTGTACCCCTGCCTAGAAAAATGCCACATTAGTCTTTGTCAAGGAAGCCCTTCCCTTGCCTACTCAGAGACCACATTTTGAATGCAGCAGAAGCCCAAACAGTTGGGTTTTACTCTCCTGCTCCTTGCCCTCCCCCACACAGCCCTCTTGTTGGGAATGTCACCAGGCCTGGGCCCTGTTCTTGCAACAGCTTGTGCGCTGCAAGTCTTCTGCTGTTTCAGAGGCAGGTGGTTACATTTCCCAGAGGGCTCAGCACCTAGGGCAGCTCCCATGGAGAACAGTCTGTCCCCACTTCCCCGCTAAACCACCAATAAGGGCAGTGGGAGCGGTCCTGAATGGAAAAACCTGGTCACTCTTGCCTTTGGAATAGGAAACACTACTGCACTCTGAGCAGCAACAGCTGTGGGAGCCCTGGGGAGACCTTTCCCCTCTGCCCCTGGCACTGCCTCAAGCCTCCAGAGTAGGATTCTTTTTCGAAGTACTCAGCAGTGAACTGAGTCTTCCCATAGGAGTTTATGGGAGTTTTACCTCAGGAGGGAAAGGCTGGGATCACTGTTGAATGCCATGGGAAATCTCACCCTTAGCCTGGTCCACTCAGGAGAGTTGTACTGCTCTATCCCTTCCAGGAGAAAGAAATCAGTACCTCTCCTCAGTGTGGAGGCAGTTTTATCAGGGTGCTCAACAAGGGGCAGCTAGTCTGGTAGGGAAAAAAGGATACCCTGTATCTATATATCAGTAGAACCATGTCCAGACTGTAGACAAGGTAGTGGTAGAACTTGCATGGGTAGATTAAATCTTTATGACTACAGTCCTGAAAACAACCCTCTGACCAAGCTGCTATCATTATCTTCTGCTGCCCCAGATAATACGGGGACAATACGGTGTCCAGCGGATGGAGCTCCTGCCTGGGGACCGTGAGAACTTGGCTATCCAGACCCGTGGTGGGCCTGAAAAGCATGAAGTGACTGGCTGGGTGCTGGTGAGTACTTGTGCAGAGATGACCATACGCTTATGGCGACACAGAGGCAAGGCTTGAGAAATAAGACTGAAAAATCAAAATGGAGGCAAACTCAGTAGTTTTCCTGAAGTTGGAAAAAAAGTGAGCTCTGTGAATTTGAAGTGAAAGCAGTCAAAGTCCTGCATTTTACAGGATTAAATGCCTGCGTCAAGGCCTAGTCCTCAGCTACTATGTGTTTCCTGCAGTTGTATACACCTGCACAAAGTCTGTGGAAGAATAATGCAGAGGATAACCAGGTGCATACAAAGCCCAAGCTGTGAGAAACCCACACTTACATGAGAGAGAACTCCTCCTGCATCATCCAAAGCATACTGCAGTCAGCAGGTAGAGCCCAGTCCAGCTGGTATCTCAGTAGGAGCTTGTCAGCCATGGGGACAAGGTGTCCTTAGAAGACAAGAGGACACACAGGAAAAGACCTTTTGAGATTGGGACCATGCTGTCCCACCTTATGAGGAGGCTATTGCAAAGGTGTTAGAAGTAGCTAGGCCTCAAAAGCAGCATTTCCACTTTGCATCTCTCCTGCTGGTTCATTCTCCCCAGCCAGACCAGCATACAGCTCTTAAGAAAGTGCCTCCTAGAACTGAGCCCTACATGACCTGGAGAGATGCTCTCCACCAAGAACTTGGAATTGTTAGTGAAAGTTAACTTCAGAGGAAGGGACCAGAGACCTTTATGTCCGATTAGTTCAGTGTCCCCCAGCTCAAACTCAGGACTCCTATAGAATTAGAAGAAAGAGGGCTGGCAGGCACTGCAGGAAGTCATCCAGTCCAACCTCTCACTGAAGGCAGGAACATCCCATGCAACCATGCAAGACATCTGTCCTGGGCATTGCAGAGGGTCTCCACTCTCTTCCTCTGGTGTGCACCTTCAAGAAATGTAATCTTTCAAGAACCATCCCCAAACATTTAGTCATTAAGATTTAAAGAAATCCTTGCCCTTGTTTCTTAAGTGGGAGTACACAAAAAATTTAGTCATCTATAGAGACAAGAAGAAAGCAGCAGAGAGATCAGAGGAGAGGAGGTTACAACACATCAGGCAAGAAGATCCATTTTGATTTTCAAGTAGATGATCTTTGTCAGTAACAGACCACACCAAGTGATTGCTTCAAGCCGCAGAATGAGGTGTGGACTAGGGAATGCAGCTCAAGGGCACTGCATGCCAAAACAGATAGAGACTTTGGAGAGGTGCCAGCAGACTGACAATACACTTTTATGGAAAGGAGCATTAGAACTAATGTGCTTTCTGCCTCCCTCAGTAATGGAAGGTTTTAACACATTCTGAAACCAGGAAAATACTAATGTCTGGCTAGCCAGGATAAAGCAACTTCTTACTGACATGTTGTAAAAGCCCTCATGGGAGCAGGATGAGGCCAGGACTAGATTGGATGCACTCCAAGACAGGTGCTAAACAGAATCCTGTCAGTGTACAGGGTGTTTGGATCCAAGCTGAGTTAAAACAACCTACTGCTCACTTAAATCCAGCCAGCAAGCAGTACAGACAACACTAATTTATCCCAGCTGAGCCAAAGCTAATAGCAAATGTGTTTTTTACATTAAAAGTCATTGTTATGCAGAACTTAAAACTGTACTACTCTGCAAGCATGAGCTTTTTTCCATACTGTTGAGTATTCTTGATATGTGCTTCTTGATTGGTAGAGGTCAATTATCACTCAGTATTCATAATACCATTCCCATTAGGTCTGCTTAACATATAATTTAATGCTATTACACAGTCCAACAATGATGCATTAACATGAAAAGTCCAAGCTAAACAAAGAATGTGTTCTGATTGTTTTGACAGATCTCTCCTTTGAGTAAAGAAGATGCTGGGGAATATGAGTGTCATGCATCAAACTCGAAGGGAGAAGCTACAGCCTCTGCAAAAATCACTGTTGCTGATGCCCTACATGAAATACCTATAACAAAAGGTGGGTGTTGTTTGAAGGTGCAGCATTTCTTTTTGTTCTTATTGGGTATTTCTACACACTTTTGTCCTGCAACACACTGGAGATCCGCCACTTCGGAGCAGACTCAGGTTTGCTCCGCACCCGAGCTGGTGCACATTGCACTGCATTGTATGCAGTTGTATAAATAGCAAAATGCACATCAGTGTGTAGAAAATAGCAGCGGTGCACTTTTGAACTTAAACAACTTCTGTGTGTTTTAGTTCAAAAGTGCACCACCATTTTCTCAGTGCTGACATGCATTTCACTCAAAGGGGCAAAGCATTTTCCAAGTGGGTTTAGTCCCTTTACGAAGTGAAAAGACACTGAAAAGGCTGCATTTATGTTTTCTGCAGGAATTTAGTATTAGAAATAGCAGGAACATCAAATCCGGCCTTACCCAGTTTCCATATAGGACTTTTTGCAGATCTTAATTGTTTAAGCTCTTACACTAGAGGCTGCAGTGGGGTTGAATCTTTAAGATAAGCGAGAGTGGAACAGGGAGAGGAATACATTAGGTATTGGAAAGAAAGATTTAGAACATAACTAAAAATACATTCCCTCCCCCACTAGCTTAATTTTGGGCTTTTTCTAACTGTAATTCCAGTGGTTCTCCAGTTAGCATGCTATCAGAGAAGACCTACAGTTTTGGGTTTTTTTCCCCTTAGAATTGTATGAGAGGGCTTCAAAAACACTTTCAAGAACTGCACAATGCTGTTTTACCAATAGGTTTAATCCCAATAGCCTTGCTCCTCCTCTTTGCCAGGCCTTATCACTGTTGCACACACCAGTTATTCAGAAACTCAATGAAATCTCAGTTCACTCGAATGAAATGGCCCTGAGCAGCTGGAAGATGCGTTAAAAAAAGAGAAGTTCCCAGCAGTGGAACAAGAGCATAAAACAACTCCCAGTGTCAATTATGTACTGAAGAGGTTCAAGTCAAATATTAACATAACTTACATACTTTGGCTAAACCTTCTGGTTTTTAGCCACAGTATGTGTTCCCTGTTGTGAATGTTAAACACAAGTGCTAAGGGCACGTGCACTCAATGTTTCACTCTTAAAGAAGTACAGAATTGCAAATACTTATGCAGGTCAAGGATGTGATAAGCATTTACTGCTTTTTGAGGGGAATGCTACTGCTAGATTATGGCATGGAACAGCCTTGATAATATGACCTCAAAGCAGGCACTAGGTATTTTAATTTCTCCTTACATAATATGCCAAAAATACTGCAACTCCTCACCTTGTAAGTAGGAAGAACTTAAAACGAGAGCAAAGGTATTTCATTATGTTAGCAATAAGCTATGAGCTGACAATGTCTACAAATATTGGAAAGGAAGTAAATAAGGGCTATTGATTTTGACAGGGTATTTGACAGTTCATGACCAATAACACCCAAGTAGTCTAAATGACCAAATACTTAGCCATTGGGAAATGTTCTAATAATCTCAGCAATGAGTTACTTCCCCATTTAAGTCTATCAGAAAAGGCACTACTATTGATATTGTACTATCTGCAATGTTATTCTCTTGTAATTATGACACAGCATAACTATTGTTTCTCTTTTTGCAGATGATGGTGCAGAGCTGTGACACAGAGGACTGTATCATTCATGCACAGTTTAAGTTAGCAATTTGGAAAGCTGCAGTCACTAGGCTTTTCCAGCGCAATAATCAGTTCCCTGTCCCCATTCATTCAGCCTTCTAATATTGTTTTGCTTTCACACTTTTTGCAAACATACAAATAAACAGGATTCACAATGGACTACAAATCTTTTTATTTCTATTTACAAAAAGTAAAGCTCAACATCATTAAACAAGGCATTAGGAAATACAAACTAGGCTCTCACACAAAACATGCACCGTTTTAAAACATTTTGGATGCTGAACGGCAAGTACATTAGAACCACAGCTTCCACGTATGCAATGTCAATTAAAACAAAACCTTCTGAAGGCTAAACACTCATCATACGCGGTGCAATACTCATTGACATTAGCTCTTGGAAGAGGAGTTTACAGGCGTATGGCATTCGCACCAAGGAAATCTGGAAAGAAAATAAATAAGTTTACTATAAAGTAGTCAAGTGAAGACCAACCAATTCGGTAAATCACAATGTAGCGGGAACAATTTACAAATTATTGGTCCAGTGCTTCAAAGTTAAATTTGACCACTCTTCAGTGACAAATCTGAAACCTACAACTCGTCAAACTCCATGGCAAGAAGTAAAACACTCCTTTATTTAAGTGTCTACAGAGTTCAGACTAATACAGGAACAGTGTTTGTAATTTATTTTTCAAGAGGTTAAAAATCTATAGAGTAAGAAATCTCCTATCTTACATTCTTGTTTAAGATAGTTTAATTCAGTATATTGACTGTATATTGCTAGAAAATTAAGCTCTGTTTAACTGCTACAAGAAAACACTGAGGTAAGGTAAACAACTGTCTGAAATTTATGCTTAAGTACAGGATTTCATATTTAAAATTCAAAGCTTGTGATTATTTTTTAAGAACCACCATGTTATAAAACTTAATTGTCTCCATAACCATTTAACAAGAAGGAAATATGAGTATACACAAATGTTGCCTTATCAACTGCATTAAAATGTAGTTAAGATTTTCTGCACGCAACTCATTAGTAGCAACAAAAGCAATAGCTTGCACTTCAGAAGTCAGCAGTACATACAAAAATAACTGCCTTCAATAATTTTACTCATCTGTTCCATCACTCCTTTAAGAAAATAGCTCTAAATAATAACAAAGCACATTAATTTAGATTTACAAGAGCAGTATGCAAGTAACTCCAACCAGAAATTAGCACCTTAAATATGACATTTATGTAAGTTATTTCCTTATAACCCAAACTTAATAGACTGCTCTGAATGAATATAGCGGAGTGGCCAACCAATGGAATTGATGTTCTTCCTGAGTTTTACTGTATCAGTTATTTTTTTTTTCAAGAAGCTGAGATTTAGTTCTCTTTTAGTTAAGTTATATGGAAACAACAACCCTCGCCCAGCGCAACATTGGCTGGAAATTTCGTTTAAGGATTTTATAAACAGTCAGAACTCCCTAGGACAGAGGGAAGCATCCAAATCAACTCAAACTCATAGAATGCCCTATCATTATTTAAACAAGCCTGCATTTATTGCACGTTTTACCGTTATTGTCTCTTCTACCCCACCAATCACCATTTTTTAAAAAAATATTTGCTTAACTGCTAGCAATCTTAGCAGATGAAATCCATACATACTTGTGTTTTATTACGACATCCCCTGCACTCATACGTATGTGTCCTGGTGTTGGCTATTGCCATTATTCCACAGAGATTGCAAACATGAACTTGGTATGGATCTGAAGCTTCAAACAACCTCTCTCTTAAAAACTGAGCTGCTCCATGAGCAATCTGACAATCACGCTCCATTTCTCCAAAACGAAGGCCACCATCACTGCGGGCGAAAAGTGATAGGATATTTTGCCATGAAGTTAAAAAGCAGAGCTTCCAGTTACAAATACAGCAACCATTCAGTAGATGAACATCTACAGTGTGATAGGCAGGGTGCAGGGGGGAATGTACTCAGAAAGCTAGGCATATATCACCTTCTCCAAGACTCCTGGGGGGACATCAAGAGGCATAACTGCTGAAGCCCCCAGTCACATGGCTAAAAAAAGCTTAAACAGATGTCAACAGTGCTCAGGCAATCATCAGCCAAAGCATAACTCTATACTGATATTCTGTTACAAATGACTTAAGTCATGCCATACTTGTCCAAACTCAAGTACACCAAAATCTGATTTACACAGACAGTTATTCAATAAGCCAATTAAGTCATAGGTGCACAGCTGATGCAGCCGATTTCCTCCCATCTGAGCAACACAGGCATGTGACTTTGTGGAAGCTAATCAAATCAAAAGCCAATAAATATTCTTACCGTGATCTACCTTCCATGGGCTGTCTGTTAAGGATCTGAATTGGCCCTCTGGCACGAGAATGGATTTTATCATCTACCATGTGTTTCAGCCGCTGGTAGTAAGTAGGACCAATGAAGATTTGTGACGTGATTTTGCGACCAGTGAAACCATTATAAAGAACCTGAAAGTAAGCACAAGCAGAACTAGTGAAGCATCAGTTTAACTATACATACTAAGAAAGAAATTTATCAAAAGGAATGAAAGATGCAGAATTGGCATTTTGAGCATTATACCTCATTTCCTCTCAGATGATAGCCATAATCTGATAACAAATTGGAAATCTTCTGCACATTGACAGCATCATTAAAAGGTGTAGCATCACCAATTTCTCCCTTGTTTGCTGATACCTATGGGAGGAAAAAACAGGAAACTTCACAGAGATCTTTGCTTGCAAGACACATTTATGTGCACCCAAAGAAGTGATCAAACTAGACTCAAAACTACTTGAAAAGGCAAACTTTTCACTGTTGAAATACAATGACTCAATGCTCAGAACAGTATCTAACTTAACTTTAAAATTATGTATCTGTTTATGTAAAAACAAAGGTTTACAGATACAGTTTTTAAAAGCACTCTCATTAACCTAACTGTTACCCATTTTTGTTTCATGGGTAAAGGAACATCTACAGGACTTCTTAGGGTTAGTTATGTTTGTAAAGTGGTTCTGTAAATAAAAGCCACAAAGAACTACTATGAAAAGCACACTGTATTTTCACCCACTGAACTTGTCTTCAGGAAACAAACACCCTTGGTGGCTACTGTATTTTTGGTTTTCTACTGGCTTATTAACTGGGAACTCAACTGGCATCCTTTATTGTGTTAACAAACAAACAAACAAACAAACAAACAAACAAGGACAACAAGCTTTTCCAAGAGATAAAGGAAATTTAGTTGAGGTTCCTCATATTTTACTTCATGAAGCAAATCATTCTCCTTACCTTCCCTTGAAGGCATTCAATCAAGTGACCAATTGTCATACGAGAAGGAATGGCATGGGGGTTGATGATGATGTCAGGCGTGATACCTTCACATGTGAAAGGCATATCCTAAAGTAAAAGAGAATGGTACTCAGTACCCCTAGTTTTTCAACAAAATGCCGTTTGGACTAAGATGTGTATTTAAGAAATGCATACAGACTTGAAGGAGCGTGTGTTTGGAAGCGCATAAAATTCAAACTAAATTTTAAAGCTCTATGTTAAGGATAAGTAACCACAAGCAATTCACTCTTGCAAGGAGGTTCCAGTGTAAAATCAAAAATACAAGTACAGGAAGGAAAAAAAAAAAGTCACTACCTCTTGTCTATACTGGATACCACAGGTTCCTTTCTGACCATGTCTACTAGCAAATTTATCACCAATTTGCGGGATTCTAACAGAACGCACCTAGAGGTGACGAAAGACAGCAGATCAATAACAAAAAAAAAAACTCCACAAGGGAAAAAAAAAATGTTAGCCAGAAGACACCCAGACCTGCACTTACCCTAATTTTGCAAAACTTGTATCCTTCCTGATTGAGAGTAACCATGACCTGATCTACAATGCCAGTCTCACTAGTTCGTAGGAAAGTGCTGCAGTCTCTTTTTGTGAAACGTCTGTTAGTGCTTTCCAGTTCATCTTCATTCTCTGGCAGAGTTACTGTTTTGCCTATGATGACATCATCTCCTGACACACGTACACCAGGTGCTATCAAACCATCATCATCTAATTTGTCATAGATGGCATGCCTCATACCTGAAGAAAGACAACTAAATTCAGATTGCAACACCCTTCAAAACAGTTCCACACAAGAGTAAGTATTGTGTTCGCAGACTTCACATTTGTATTTTGTCCCAGCCTCTAGTGTTGTGAACTCATACCATGTTATCAACTGTAGACTTCAATATAGATGCTCTGGAGTACTCAAAACATACCAATTGATAAAAAACTGTGCTGAGAAATTTCATCCATTTTATTCTTTTTGGTGCAATAAAGGGTCAAATAATGTTAACAAACAACTCTGCCTAGTGAAGTGTGAGTACTAATCACAGCCTTTTCTCTTCTATCTGTCAGCATGTCTTACCCTGGCAAGTTTCACGTGTAGGTTTTTCAAAAACTTCTTCTTGGTCAAAGCCTTTCTTGGACTCTTGTTCTTTGTATGACCGATAAAACACAGACCTGAAATAAAGTTTTATAAAGAATCTTGAGTACTGAGACCAGCACTGCTTTTTTAAGTTGTGTAATCTCAACTGCACCAGAACCACACGCAAGTCTCACAAGACCATATAACCAAAGTTACCAATAATGATACACAAGCAAGAAAGAATACTTTGGTCCCAAGCATCAACTTGCTATTGATAAACCAGACCTCCCCAGAGATTACTGATAATGCAGAACACTACAATGACTTCTATAGTCTCTTCTCAGGTGGTGCCAAGCTGCCTACGAGTATGTGCTGGCCCCTGGGACCTCAGCATGCCCTATATACCTTTAAAAAAGCCCCTGTTATTCCTATAGATCAGAGGTTTTCAACCTGTTATCATTTGCAGACCCCTAAAAAATCTCAAATGAAGGTATGGTCACCTCTGAATTGTAAGTGTGGGTATTCACATACTTGATCGATCGCAGTCATCTTTCGTGGACCCCTTAGTCTGCAGACCGAGGGGTCTGCATATCACAGGTTGAAAAACTACTGCAACAGATCACAACCACCTTGATAACAAGTCAAGGTGCATCTCTTTCCTTGCCTTTTACTTGCAAGTGTTCTTAGGGCATGGGCTATGCCTTTATTTGTATATTTCAGAGGCACCAAGCACACAA